TCCAGCCCTATATCCTCTGGACTCCGTCTCAAACCCGCCTCTGTGGCTACCCAACTGGGGTTTCCATGTGCTGCTCTTCTGAACTGGATCCTCAGTTTCCCGGATGTAGTTTCTTCCTCTTTTATGGTACATTTCCATTCTTGGGTGAAGCACATCCTCCAATAACTTCCTCAGATGGGTGCAAAGGAGGTAAACAATTTGGGACATCAGGTGCCTGAAATCTGGGTGTAGAATTCTGAGATAAAGATCATTTTTCCTCATATTTTCTCAGGCATCTTTGTCTTCGGGTTTCAGCATTACTGTTGAAAAGCCCAGGGTCATTTGACTCTCTATCCTTTGAATGGGATCTGCTGTTGCTTTTAGTTTCTAGGATCTTAATCCAGGTCTTCTGAAATTCTACAGTGAGTCTTTTTTATTCTTAGTGCTGCACACCTAACAGCCTTTCAATCTGGAAAATTATGCTCTCTGTTCTAGGAATTTTATTGTGCTATCCCATTCTTTTTTTTTTATTTCTTTCTGGAAATTCTCTTAGTTGGATATTGGGCTCCCTGGATTGATTAATTTTCTTCCTTTTTCCTCCTATTCAATCATTTTAATTTATTTTATTTCTTTCTCTGAGAGATTTTTCTCTGCTACATTCCACTGTTCTTTGTAAATTTTTTTTAGTTATCATAATTTAATTCATAAGGGCTAATTTCTTATAGAACCTAATCTCGTTTCATGGTTGCAATATTTTTTATCTCTCTAGGGGAGAGGTTCGAGCTATTTTTTTGTTCTCTGCTCTTTCCTCGGTTCTCATGTTTGCTTGTTTTGCACTGTTTTACTATGGAGGCTTTCTTCAAATGTCTTGAAATGCATTAAAAAAAAAAACTTCTGGAAGTCTACATGCATGACTAACGCTTGGGAGTTCTTGGGGTGACTGGTGGAAGTTGGCCCTTTTATTGGAGAACTCCTCATAATCAGCGCCTGTAGGTCTTGTTTCTAAATTTCTCAAGTAGAAACTCTTCCTCCTGGTGGTGGGGATGGATGGGGCCAATATTTTTGGAGCAAAGTGTGTCTAATGGAGGAGCAGATTCTCAGCCTAGCCACTCTCACTAGTTTAAGTGTGGTATCTCTCCCCTGACTACGCCATGTGTCCTCAGTTTGTAGCCTCTCTGGTTCCATGTTTCCATACAATAAACCCTGCCACTCTGATGGTGAGTGGGCTATCGGTTACTTCAGATCATGTGGATAGGACTGAGGACTTATATACATGTTTTTTCCCTTGGCATCAATCTGCTTTTTTTTTTCGGTCCCATGTCTTGCGTCACCTTCAATTCCTATTTCTTGCTTTCTTTGATACAAGTTGACTTTATTTTTTTTAAAATTGGCATCTCCTTCTGCATGACTTTGGTATTCAGACATCTCACTTTTGCTCATTTTCTCATCAGTTTTTCTCTAACATTTTCATTTCAACAGTGTCCAAAAAGTCATTTTTATCTTTCATCTTTCTATAGTTCTACATCTCTGTCTTTCTATCTATTGTCTATTCATCCAAAATCTGACCTTCTAAATCCTTTCATGCAGTAGCTAACAGAGCTTACATCAGTCTTTATTAAAATGTTTCCAGCTCAATGGGGAGACAGCCCACAGACTGGGAAAAAATATTTGCCAACTGTATATCTGACAAAGGCCTAACATCTAGGATCTACACGGAACTCAAATGTGCCAAAAAGAAAAAAAACCAAACAACCCCATTACAAAGTGGGCAAAAGATAGGAATAGACACTTCTCAAAAGAAGACATATGAACAGCCAACAGATACATGAAAAAAAGCTCAGCCTCATTAGTCATCAAAGAAATGCAAATTAAAACCACACTGAGATACCACCTAACTCCAGTCAGGACAGCCATCATCAATAACTCAAAAATAACAGATACTGGAAAGAATGTGGCAAAAAGGGAACACTTCTACACTGTTGGTGGGAGTGTAAACTAGTACAGCCTCTGTGGAAAACAGTGTGGCAGTTCCTAAAAGATCTAAAAATCGACCTCCTATACAACCCCCCAATCTCCCTCCTGTGAATATACCCAGAGGAACTCAAATCACTCTATGAAAAAGATACCTAGCCGGGCTCGGTGATTCAGCCTGTAATCCCGTGCCTTTGGGAGGCTGAGGTGAGTGGATTGCCTGAGCCCGCGGGTTCGAGACCCGCCTGGGCAACTTGGCGAGACCGCATCTCTACAATAAATCAAAAAAAAAAAGAAAAAGAAAAAGATAACTGCACACACATATTTATTGCAGCATTATTTACAATAGCAAAAACATGGAACCAACCGAGCTGCCCATCAAAAGAGGACTGGATTTTTTTAAATGTGGTACATGTACACGATGGAACATTACACAGCCACAAAGAAGGACAAAATTATGAACTTTGCAGCAATTTGGATGGACTTAGAGTCTATAATACTGAGTGATCTATCACATAAACAAAGAACCGAGTATCACATCATAAGTGAACCTTGAATTACTATAAGAAAGGGATTGGCAGTAGAGGGAAACTGCCAGGGGAGGGCAGGGGTGGGATTGGCAGTTGCAGGAAACTCCCAGGGGAGGGGGTGGCACACCTCATCAACAGGGGTACCTGTATAACGAACATTTGTATACCTAACTCTGAATTATACCCCACATATTTAAAATAAAATTCTTTTTAAAAGTTCATTTAAAGAAAGATGGGGGAAAATTACTCACAGTTTTAATTAGAGTCAAACGTGGAAGAGAGTTTGGTCTATGGACCTGTGTTTATTTTTCACATTTGCTGGTGTGATCTGAAGTTACATGCTTTCTTTCTCTAACTGGCATGATGACTCTTCTTAGCAATTGACTGGGGCAGAGCCCTAGCAGAATGTGCTTTTGGCATGCACAATGTGCCTGGCACTCAAGGCTAGGGGCATGGTGTGAGAATCCCACTCTGTATTGACCTCGCATCTGGCGCACTTTCTAGAAATGGTGGTAGCAGCAAAATCTATGTCCCCAGCTCCACTCTGGTTGCCCTTTTGTCCACCCTGACCTCCAGCTTCTGCCACTCAGAGCCAAGGATTTTCTTATGGAAATCACTTCCACTCACTCCCACAGGCTTTCCCTTCACCGGGGCTGAACCACAGGTTAGTCCATCTTTATCTGCTCTAATCTGTGCCAGCAGAAATTCTTCATAGTCTCTGCTTGTGGATGTTTCTTCTCATTGTTTCCAGAACCGATACAGGTCATATAATGAGCACTTAGAAGGAGTGGGGGCTGGGGTGTGGGACAGAGTTAAAAATGCTGACATCACGATCTTGCCGCAGTTTTCAAATTCCTTTTTTCTTCTTCTTGCTCTTCTCCTCTTCTTCTTTTTCCTCTTCTTCCTCTTCCCCCTTCTTTTTAAAAATTGTGTATGGTATCTTTTAGTAAAGTGCATAAATGGTGTATGTCTGATAAATGTGTGTATGCAACAACCACTCAGCTCAAAATATAGAGCACAGCCCTTCGGACGACTCCCTGGTGCCCCTTCTTAGCCAATACCTACGACCTCCAGAGGTAATCACTGTTCCGACTTCTATCCCCATCAATTACTTTGACCAAGCCGGGCTCGGTGGCTCAGCCTGTAATCCCGCGCCTTTGGGAGGCTGAGGTGAGTGAATTGCCTGAGCCCGCGGGTTCGAGACCCACCTGGGCAGCGAGACCTCATCTCTACAATAAATCAAAAAATCAGCCAGGTGTGGTAGCGCATGCCTGTAATTACAGCTACTCGGAAGGCTGAGGCGGAAGGATCGCCGGGAGTGGCCACTACACTCCAGTCTGGGCAACCGAGTGAGACTCCAACTCAAAAAAAAAAAAAAAAATTACTTTGGACGGTTCCTGAATTTCATACATACTTCTCCACTTATGCAGGTCTCTCTTTCTTATTTTTCATATCAGGATTGTATAATTTTGCCCAATTATTTCTTGAAGGGAAGTCTCTGACATGTCGGTCCTCTTAAATGTGTCCTCTCACTTCATTCCCCGGGGTTAGGCATTATGACCTCCGTTTTACAGATCAGAAAACTGAGCCTGCGAGCTTAAATCATCAACTTGTGCTCTACATATTCACCTAAATAACAAGCAGAAGAGCTCAGATTTGATCTCATGTTGGTCTGACTTCAACGTCTGAGCTCTTCCCTCTGTAAACCAACATCCCAACAAACACTTTCTACTCATGAACAAAACTTAACACAAGGCTCTTTTTAGCAGCAGAGAATTATTACTACACTGTTACTAGGTTACAGAAAACGTTCTGCATATTTTAAGAAATATGCTATGTTGGCCGGGTACCGTGGTTCAGCCTGTCATCCCAGCACTTTGGGAGGCCGAGACGGGAGGATTGCCTGAGCCCGGGGGGTTCGAGACCAGCCCGGGCAACTTGGTGAGACCACATCATACGAAAAATCACAAAAACTAGACGGTTGTGGTGCTGTGCATCTGTAATTCTAGCTACTTGGAAGGCTGAGGCAGAAGGATCGCCTAAGCCCAGCAGGTCGAAGCTGAGGTGCCACTCCAGCCTGGGCGACAGGAGTGAGACGCCAACTCGAAAGAGAGAGAGAGAGAAAGAAACTATGCTACTTTCATCTGCTCCCACCTTCCTCCTCCTTGAGCCACGCCGCCTACCTAACTCCATTTCAGCTCTCACAGTGAAATTGTGCCTAGATTTCCAGTATTTATGCCTGACTGGCTCAACCACAAGTAAAGGTCAGTTCCTATCACTTCCACAAGAGGACAGTAGAGCCCACACTAAATGGGTTGAACACGGAACTAGAACTGGAAAGCTGATATGGATGTGTCTAAGCCAGATTCTGAGACTTGATGTTGATATATTGAGCGTTTATTAGCTACTAATTATTCTGGGCTTCACACACACGAACCAATTTTAAGTAAAGTTGACTTTCTGCATTCTGTCCTCTCTCTCCCCCTTTGCCCTCGTCTACAGCCTTTTCTTCCCTTGCAGCTCCGGCCTGCTCAAGCCAAAGCATGGCGGCCCCTCTGCCTTGCTTCTGAACTTCTCCAAGCTCTTGAAGTAAGTGGATGAGGACTGTGTTTTCTTGGGCTGTTTTCTTCCAAGGACAATCCTAAAAAGTAGCTAACCTGGTGTGCCCATGGCTTATGTTAAAGTGACAGCTAGTGGCCAACTTCAGTGCCACAAGTATTGCCTGCTATCCGAGTGCTTGGCAGATCTCTAGGGGAAATTTTAAATAAAAAACTAAAAATAATAATAGTTAACATTTATTGTGCCTTTCAATGCAGGAATGCACAGAGGCAGTTAGGGTTCAAAGTGCATGTTCAGGTGAGTTCCAAATTCATGGCCCAGGAAGTTTTGAGTGGTGAGACACCTTGGAGAGCTAACCACAACCACTGGGATGGTCACTGCAGCTTAGGAGCTCACTTTGGTATTGAACTTACCATCTGTCTGGAGTCAGTAGGGGCAAGTCTTTTCCTGCCCCACTCAAACCTTCTGTGAGGGTGATTGGCCCTCTCCTGCCTCTGAAGTCTCATGGCCTCCACGGCTGTGTCACTGGTGTGTCATAGAGAATGTTTGGTTTTTGTCTCTGGTTCTCAGCACGGAGCTCCAACCTCTAGGAATCTCCTAACAGATAAGGGTGGAAGCGATCTTTTGTCCTAATGAGGTCAGGCCCCTAGATAGCTTCAGGATGGGGGCTGGTTGACAGACCAAGTTTTGATAAGAAGCTTGAAACTTTCAGACCTGGGGAGGGGGAGAGGCTGGAGAGATTGAGTTCAGTCACCAGTGGCCAATGATGTAATCAATCATGCTTATGCAATGAACATCCACAAACAGCCCCTCAATGATGGGACTCAGAGAGCTGCCAGGTTGGTGAACACTTCAAGGTGTGGGAGGATGGTACATCCAGAGAGGTCATGGAAACCCCACCTCCTGCCCTTCACCCCCATACCTTGCCCCATTCATCTCTCCTATTTGGGTGTTTCTGAGTTGTATCCTTTATAACAAACTGGCAAAAGTAAGTAAAGTGCTTTCCTAAGTTCTATGAGCTCAGGAAATAATCGAACCTGAGGAAGGGACTGCAGGAACCTCTGATTTGTAGTCCATCAGAAGTATGGGCAGCTCAGGACTTGCGATTGGTGTCTGAAGTGGGCATGGTCTTGTGGCACTGAGTCCTTAACCTGTGGGGTCTACACTAACTCTGGCCAGTTAGTGTCTGTATTAGTCCTAGCAGTTTCCCTCTACTGTCAATACCCCCTCTTCCCCTGGCTGTTTCCCACTACTGCCAATTCCTTTCTTATACTATTATGATAATTGTTTCAAGATCTACTTATGAGTGAGAAGATATGGTACTCTCTTCTTTGTTTCTGTGATAGAACACTGAGTATAATAGACTCTAAATCCATCCAAGTTACTGCAAAGTCCATATGTTTGTCCTTTTTTATGCCTTCATATTATTCTATTGTGTATATATACCACTTTTGAAAAATTCAGTCCAGTTTCGATGGGTAGTGTGGTTGGTTCCATGTTTTTGCTATTGTGAATAGAGCTGCAACAAACATACGTGTGCAGGTATCTTTTTTGTAGAATGATTTGAGTTTCTCCGGCTATATTCCCAATAGGGGGGTTTCTGGGTCATATGGAAGGTCAATTTCCAGTTCTTTCAGAAATCGCCACACTGTTTTTCGAAGAGGTTGCACTAGTTTGCATTCCCACCAGCAGTGTAGAAGCATTCCCTTTTCTCCGCATTCTCACCAGCATCTGTTGTTGTTGTTTTATTAATGATAGCCATTAGGACCCACCTTTTAATATTGTCACATGGGAGATGACATTCAACATGAATTTTGGAGGAGACATTCAAACCACAGCAGCATCCAATAAGTGCTAGTCTTGATTCATCTCAGTGGAAGTAGCATCCTCCCTGGGAACCTGTCGCTGTTATCTCCAGGCAGAGCTAATGCTCCCTCCTCAGTGCTTTCACAGAGCCCATGTTTTATAAGCAGCCATGATGTCAGGGCTATTTACAAGCCTGTTTCCATAAGCAGAGTGTAAGCTTCATGAAGTAAGGAATATCTTTTTCATTCTTTGCTCTAGCACTTGGAATGTAACAAATAATAATAGTGGAGCCCTTTCCCCTGGCTAGCAGCATGGAGGCCACACGATATCCAGAGTTACCAAAAAAGATGTGAACCAGCAGGCATTTGTCAGAGCTCTGGCAGCCTCCCTCAAAAAGTCTGGGAAGCTGAAAGTTCCTGAATGGGTGGACATGGTCAAGTTGACCAAGCATGAAGAGCTTGCTCCCAACGATGAGAACTGGTTCTACACACAAGCTGCTTCCACAGCATGGCACCTGTACCTTCAGGGTGGTGCCTGGGGTTGGCTCCTTGACCAAGATCTGCGGAGACGATGTCAGAGAAACAGCATCCTGCTCAACCACTTCAGGCAAGGTTCCAAGAGTGTGGCCCGCTGGGTCCTTCAAGCTCTGGGGGAGCTGAAAATGGTGGAAAAGGACCAGGATGAGGGCCGCAAACTGACACCTCAGGGACAGAGAGATCTGGACAGAATCGCCAGACAGGTGGCAGCTGCCAACAAGAAGCATTAGAACAAATGATGCTGGGTTAATAAATTGCCTCATTTGTAAAAAATAATAATAATGGCAGAATGATAAAATAATGATGGGTCCAAAATGTCCACATCTTAATCTGTGGAACCGTGAATATGCAACCTGTGACATAAAGGGACTTTGCAGATGTGATTAAGGTTAATAACTTGAGATAAGAAGATTATCCTGGATTATTCTGGGGTAGACCCAATCAAAACAATCCTTAAAGGAAGAGAAACTTTCCCAGCTGAGGTCACAGCCAGAAGGCCATGTGACAGCAGAAGGGCTCGGACATTGCTGGCTTTGAAGATGGAGAAGGGGCCATGAGCCAAGTGGGTGACTTCTAGCAGCTGGAAATGGCAAGGACATGAGTCTTCCCCCCAACTCCCCTCAAAGTCTTTCTCTTCCGGCTCTTTGACTCTCTTTGAACTTCTAACCTATAGATGTAGGATAATAAATGTGTGTTGTCTTAAGCTACTAAGATTGTGGTCATTTGCTACAGTAACAATAGAACATTAATACAGGCACAAAAATAGAGAACGTTGAATAAATGAGAATCAGGAGAGTCTTTACTCATTTTACACTGATCTACCACTAGGAGGCACCATGACCACACTGTTGAAAGCTTTCCCACGTCCAGGGAGTTTTCTACAAGCCTAGAAAAGTGTTGCTCTACAAAAAGTCTCACAGAAGCATTATGAAGTGACTGTTCTGGCCGCTTGTCAATCCCAGTTTAGAATGCACAGGGCACCCAGAGGCCCTGCCAGGACTGTGGTCGACCCCGGGGGCTGCCCACCTTGCCTGGGGCTTCCAAGTCAGCTGCCCAGTTCTGAAACACCAGCCAGCTTTCCGCCCAATAAAACCGACCTGGTCCTCCTCTTGTACTCCAGTTGGTGACCAGTAAGCTAACGTATGCCACCGTGTTCACAGCGCCTGCTTCCCTTTCTGTCTGCCCCTGTGTCTCTCCCTCCCTCCTTCCTGAAGGTCCTGGAAAGAACTCTTGAGGCTCACAAGCTTGCTCACTCATTCATTTATTTCCATGGTCGTCATCATCATTTACTAGGCGCCTATGGTGTATCAGTTCCTACACCAGAGAAGCAAATTAAGATAAAACCTGGCTCCTATCAGGTCGTCTGCACAGTATGAAAGGGGGAGCTGGGGTGGGAGTTGAGGGCTTCAGGGGTACAGAGACCTACACTGCCTTCAGCCATTCTTGGGGGAGTGAGTGGGAGAGAGGAGAGAAACCTGGCCAGAGGAGGTGATATTTGAGCTGGAACTTGAAGCATGAACAAGAGGATGCTTCTCCTAAGGTGGCATTGAGCAGCAAAGACAGGGAGGTGGTTGGTGGGCCTGTGGGGGCCTGTCGCAGATGACTGGCCCTCATCTAACAAAGACAGGTCTAGCAAAGTCCGTGGAATTCCTTTATAAAGAGACTAAAACCCCAGTCCAGAGAGCTCAGACCTGACCTTACAGTGAAGGGTTTTATTCATGTCTTTATGCGGCTATCTTTGTACTTTTTTTTTTTTTTTTTTTTTTTTTTTTTTTTAGCTGAAGTGAGACAGGAGATAGCTAGAGAAACGCTAGGCAGACAGACCTGCAGGTCTTCTGGTAACATTGTAGCTGACTCCCTGCAGGCCTCTCAGGCCCAGCCTTGGTAAAAAGGCTCCCAGTGAGCCTCACAAGCTAAAGCTTAAGTACTCATTGCTGGGATCGAAAAGCAACCAATCAGCTCATCATTTAGGACCCTACCTCCTGCTGATTGGTCCTTAATACTGACCAGTCAGAACAGCTACAGTTCATAACTTGTGCTAACTAATCGGCTTGGACCTAGGGCTGTATAAGCCCCAGGTTTTCAGTCCCAGGCGGGCAACTCCTTTGGGTACCCTCCTGCTGTGGGAGCTTCTCTGTCCTCTCAATAAATCCTGCTTTTTCACTTTCTGGCTGTCTGTGTCCCTCATTCTTCCTGGGCATGACACAAGAACCTTGACCCTGAAGAGCTGCAACCTAGGAGCTGCAGAAGATCGTCGGAGCCAGCTGAACCAGGAGAGCTGCCAGGAGAAGGCGAAACTCCAAAGCTGAGACACCTCAGGGGCTAGGCTTGCCAGCCCACCAAACCAGCAACACTCTCAGCAACACTCTCAGCCCACCAAACCAGCAACACTGAACCAGGAGAGCTGCCAGGAGAAGGCGAAACTCCAAAGCTGAGACACCTCAGGGGCTAGGCTTGCCAGTCCACCAAACCAGCAACACTCTCAGGGGTTGGCTCGCCAGTCCACTAGAGCTGACACTTCTGGGACTAGGCTTACCAACCCCATGACCACCCTCTCCGGGGCTTGGCTGGCCGACCCAGGGAGCTGACAATATTGAAGCACAGGCTGACCTGAAAAATCCGCATCAGAAGTCTCACCCTGTCGCCCAGGCTGGAGTGCAGTGGCATACTCACAGCCACCGTAGCCTCAACCTGCTGAATTCAGGCGATCTTTCATCTCAGCCTTCCAAGTAGCTGAAACTACAGGTGCGCACCACCACATCCAGCTAATGTTTTTGATTTATTGTAGAGACGAGGTCTCACCATATTGCCCAGACTGGTCTTGAGCCTGGGATCTCAAGCAATCCTCCCACCTCTGCCTCCTAAAGTACTGGGACTACAGGTGTGATCCACCTCGCCAGGCCATATCTTTGTACTTTTAAAAGATCCCTTTGACAGGCAGGGGAAATACTATGAGTGGGAAGACCAGGTAGCCTCCTACTTCTTTTTTTTTTTTTTTTTTTTTTTGAGTTGGAGTCTCACTCTGTCGCCCAGACTGGAGTGCAGTGGCCGCTCCCGGCCACCGCAGCCTCGACCTGCTGGGCTCCGGCGATCCTTCCGCCTCAGCCTTCCAAGTAGCTGGAATTACAGGCATGCGCTACCACGCCCGGCTGATTTTTTGATTTATTGTAGAGATGAGGTCTCACTGCCCAGCGGGTCTCGAACCCGCGGG